TTAAAAACGAATTTGATCATTTACTTTAAATAAAAATACTTATGGATATATAAAATGAAAATTGTACATTTATAAGTTGGAGTAGATATTTTTTTCTTCTTCCTTTAAATATAATGTGTTGTTTATTTATGTGATTTAAATATAACATGTTACACATTTTTAATGCTTAAAAAATTTTAAGTTAATTTTGTTATTATTATTTTAATTTCTACTAGTTAAATAAAAAATATAACCTTTTGTTAAATACACTTCTATCTATTAATAATACACTTATATTATTCTTCTTTTTAAAATACCTTCAATTTTATTTATATTGTTTAATTCTTGAACTTCACAAACCCTCCCTTATAAGAGCGAAAAATAATACTTATCGAAAATACTTTATGTAACAATAAATTTAATGTTTCAAAAAGTAATTTTTACGAGTTTTTTTTTCTTCATTTTTTTGAAAAATATTTTTTTAAATATGAAATTTAGTGTTTTAAAAAATATTTTTTGGAAGATTTTTTTTATAATTATAGAAAATATTTTTCAAAAATTTAAATTTATTATTTTGGAAAGTAATTTATAAAAGTATAAAAAAGTACTTTAAAATTTTTTTTTGTAATATTAAATTTATTATTTTGAAAAACAATTTAAAAAAAATAGTACTTTCAGAAAGTTAAGAAAAAATCTTCATTGAATCATATCTTATAAACATAAATATTCAAAATAGTTTCACGAAGTTACTTTTTTTTTTTACGCCGTTAATTAAGTGTTGTGTATAAGATGTGTCTTGTATTCAATGTAGGGAACAATAAATATGAAGTGGAAAATTAGGGGTGAACAATAATTGGAGATTGAATGTAGGCAAAATTCCAACTAATGATTGAGATGTTTAATTGCCTCCTTAACCTCAATGGGATTCAAACCCTTTTGAGAAGGAGGAAGGAAGACACCATGATGAACCATTGTAATTAATTAACAAGTGTAAGCTTTGTTGGCCAACAATATATATGGAGCGTTGACCACGTTGAGAAAATTACATGAATTTGGTTATTCTTCTTAACTTATTCATTATATTTGCGAGCTTAGTGTGTGTTTATTTCTACATTCTATCATACTAAACGTCAATCCATCCCTCTTCTTGCTTTTATGTTTCTGCCTTGGTAGTATGCACCATGATTGTGATTTGAAATGATGCGATGGGCAATTGATCACATCAACTGAAATTTGTGTCCAAGATGATTGTGGTTCGAAAATACTTACAAATAGTGTGGTTGGCCTCAAAAGAAAAACAACATAATTGATTACGATTTTCTTTTGGGTGAAGCACAACTCATCATGTTAATTAACATAATGTGATGGACAAGTATATAAACGATATGCAACTATAAAGTGTATGTAATTTCGACCAATTTCTATGTTACATAATTATATTTCTTCAATTTAAGGTTGGATAAAGTGTGACATAAGAACTAAATTAAGTATGACGTTGAAATTATAATCGATGTAAAAACATTAAATATATTTTTTTTCTCTTTTCTTTGCATACTAACATAATAAAACAAAAAAAAAAACACAATAAATGAATAATGAGGTTTTTTTTAGTTGGAAAAAATTTGAAAAACAAGGGAATTAGAGAGAGAATGAGGAATTTACAAAGGCACTCTAGTTGATACATAGAACCTACACTTTATTAACAATGTGAACTTTGACATTAAGTATATCATAAGTGGGAATTTCACTTTCTGGCTGGATGTTTGTACCCGTTTCTCTTCTTGTGACTTTTTTTATTCTCTGTCAAACATTTATAGTATCAACTAATTCATTTAGGTGTGACATCTTATGATGTCATGACACCCCCATTCCTATGGTCACTCCTTCAATACTTATGGCTTTTTAGAGTCTCTTTCAAGATATTTGCTTAAAGTGTGACCCGTTTACCCATTAGTAAGTATTGTGATGGATCAACTATTGTTCACTTGACACAATCATACAAGGTCAAAATTCACACAACACAATCATCTAGGGTGAACAATAATTGAGGATTAGATGTGGGTGAAACTCCTGCCAATGTTTGATATGTCTAATCGACACCTTAACATTTGTGGGGATTTGGGCCCTTGTGAGAAAAAATGGAGGAGGAAATAAGCCCTAACGAACCATCGTAATTTGTTAACAAGTGTTAGCTTCATTGCTCGACATTATGGAGTACTGACCACACTAAGGAAAATTTATGAATATAGATCTTCATCTTGGATGACTCATTGTGTTTAATAGCTTGCTTGCTAGGACCAAAGTCACTCTCTCTTTTCCTTAAGATTTGGTGTCTTTATGCAACAAAAAGAAAAACTTGATACCTTCTCACTATTCAAATTAGTTGTACCTTCAACTTGATTTGAAACCAAAAAAAAAAAAAAAAACAACAAAAATATATGTGTGGTATGAAAATGTACAAGCAATTTATGTTGGTTAGTGGCTCAAGTTAGTAGGTTATAGATTGATCTAATAGTATGCATGATATTAGTGATATGAAATGACGTAATAGACAGTTAATCATGTCAACTAATATAATGTCACAAGAAACATATAATAATAATTGTGTATAATGCGAAATTAATAAGTATATATAATTTTGATCAATTTCTACCGTATATAATTAGATTTTTCTAATTTAAAATCGAGATAAGTGTAACATAAAGATTGAGATTAAGTTAAGTATGACATAGATATTGATTGAGATTATAGTTAGTATATAAGCATTAAATAGTTTTTCTCTCTTCTTAATAATATAACAAAACTAAAAATAATAACAATTAATAGGATATTTTTTTTGGAATTTTGAAAAAAATTGAAAATCAAGAGAAGGAGAGGGAAAATGGGGAATATGTGCAAAAAGATTTTTGTTGATATATGACACTTACACTTCATTAACACCATGAACTTTGGAACAACTCTATGGAAATGCCTCTTCTTCTTGTTGGCTTGCTCAATGTATTTGCTAGCTTGTTAAGATCATTGTCACTTTTTTTTTTCTACTTCAGATTTTGTATAATATATTATGCAATAAAAAGAAAATAATTTTTCAATATTTAGATCTGTTACACTCTACCTTTCAAGACTATGTTTTCAACTACATTTATAAATTCATTTTAATAAATTATTTTTAGTTTGTGCTTCTACATTTGAAGTTTCATTCTAATATTGAATTGACTAAATTTACAATTTACTTTTAGTTTAGTAATCAAATGCTTTGTATACAAGTTTAAACACTCGATAAGACCACAAAATTAAGATTATTTTTAGATTCGATTTCAACAAATTAGATACTAAATTTACTAATTAAAATCTTGAACGACGATATGGAATTGAAATTTAAACTTGATTCATACTTTCAAGTTGAAAACAAAACACTGATTTACCAAAATTAACTTTAATTAATTTTCTTATTTCAAGTGTCTCGTATATAAATATTTTTATTACTAAAATAAAATTTTAAAAAAGTTAGCTCTTCAAATTTGAACTTAAAAAAAATTAAAAACCTTAAACCGTAAACTGTAAACCTGTATAATAAAGGATGAATAGCTTCTTCTGGTTAAGACAATTTTGATAAAACAAAGTAGTATCTACATTAATGATTTCATGTCGAAATCCAAATTTAAATTCAGGTTTTTAATTTAATTACTTAAAATTAACAACTTTTATGAACTTTGAAACAAATTTTTACTGAGCACTATGCTTAAAACGAATGCTCATAAAAGTGTTTTTTTAGAGTTTAACTTTCTTTCTTTACACTTTTCTACTGTTAAAAAAAGACAAATTTTTACTATCTATAAACATGGGCTCATTTTTTGACTGAATGTGATGTTACAATGTGCTAGTATAGATGTAATTATTTGCTGAATCAAAGAAATCTTTCTGAATTATTTGGCCATAACTTTTTGGAGTAGGCAAAAGGGAAGGGTTGCTTAGAACGCAGAGTAGTGGAAAAAGAGAAACAGCGCTCACGAATCAAATCAAATGAACCACAAAGCGGATATGATTCTTTCTAATGATGCAAGATGCTCTTTCTTATCCCTTGCGCTTCAAATAATAAGCAATTTGCTAGTTTCACAAAGCACAATGTCAAACACAAGCGAGAATCATACTCATTCTATTTCATATGTATCACATAATCGTGTAGAATTTGCTATTCAAGGAGTTCCATTAAACCCTACGCGGAGAAAGCCATCCTGAAGAATCATTGCAACAATTTTTTTAAGGTCCAAATTGAATCGTATCGTATCAACGTGCATATGCATATGCGTTTGCCTATTTTCCAATTTAGGGAGCAAACAAAAAGTCAATCTTGGTTTAATTCGAATAATAATATTGTCGAAATAAGCCAAATATAGAGACCCCACCCATGTTTTGAATTTACATAAAACTTGAAATAAAAGCCAGCATCGGCGGCAGAGGTATCCCTATTCAAAAAATAAGACCAACAATTGAATCCATTCGTATATACTCAAAAAGGGAAATGGAAGACCCATT